AAAGTTTGAGATGTGAAAGAGGTAAAACACAAGTATCAAATGCAAATAAGGATAAACGAAATGACAATTAGACAACTTATTTCAGAAAATATTATTTTTAATTAGTAATCAGGATATAATGTGATAAATCATGTAAATCCTATGAACCAAGATTTTGGTTGTAACCAAGGGTCAAACGTAACAGATGCATATTGATATCAATATCAGAATTGCCGTTTGTTTCTCTCTTATCTAATGTGAGGGAACGCCAAACACTCAAACCGCTTGTAGAAAGTGTAAATTTATTTTCATGTGTTACCTAAAATTATACATATCAAATAAACAATTCAAAACTAGACTGTAAATATTCCTACAGATAAAAATACTAGTATGCATTTGTTTATTCATCGATCCTTGTCAGGTTACAAACCTCACAAAAAACCTATTGACGCAAGCGTCAAAAAGAGGGCTGAAACAATTTCATCGAAATATCGATATTGTTCAATATAATTCTTCAATTCAATTCACTACCTCAATTTTCAATTCAATACATTTTTTTTATAATCGGGTTAGATTACCCCTTGAATTGACTGTCTTTGATCTCATTTTGACACTCAAGAGAGAGAAAATTGAGACAGACAAAGTTTTAGAGCAGGCTGCTGCTGCTAGAATTGACACAGATAATGTGATATTTTAATCGACAGCACCTTGTGTCCTTTTTGTATCATTACCTTTTATGTATCTTTTGGAATCTAATACATGTTTTACTTAACTTAATGATCTGTTTCTTTTTTAAAATGTATTGTATTGAAAAAATTGAATTGTGACACAAGTATTGCAATACGTATCATATCGTGGAGGGAGTGTATCGTTTCAGCCCAAGTCAAAAATCGGCCGCAAACCAATTTATCGGTCCTTTCAAGAAGAATCTAGAAAAGGAATGAAAAATGATATTACAAACAGCAATCAAGCACAAAAAATTCCATTAAAACTGAAATGCTCTATCTATTATTAAAATATCTTATATTTATCCCTGTGACATAAAACATTTGCATGCAACATTGCAGGATTTTGTTCAATACATAATACAGGTACATTGCATAGTCATCTGCGTCTCCACACTTAGTTTGATACAGGCGAATTCTGATGGAAGTTTTTACAATTTTAAAAATATAAAACTAAAGTTTAAACTTATCTGTAACGAGAGATAGTTTTTACTTAATAAAAGAAGCAATTGATAAGTGGGGCTCCTCGATCACTCTCCGCGGATGTTAAAACCCCCCAAACTCCCTCTAGATCCACCATTACATTTCTTCTCGTTCTTGATTTGGTGTGAGATTCGGTGGGAAAAGGCTCGGCATATTGTAAAACGCGCTTTATCATCGTCTGTTGGAACAAAATCTCGTAATATTCTGTCTGATAAAAAATTAACAGTAAATAACATTTTTTTTTACATATTCCGTAGGAAATGTATTTATATACACGTTATTTTGAATATATTCGACAAATCCTGTTTATTTAGAAAAAGTAGATCTGTTTGTTTATATTTGTATGTGTTGCGATCTTTGCTTTAGACTATGCCTATCCTGGCGGCCGGTGTACCAGTGAAACTCAGAGTCGCTCTAAAAATAGAATTCCCAACGTAATAAAAAAATACCACCGATAGATGATGCTTGTGGAATCCTCATTATTTACGTCATAGGCAAGACAATCCCAATACCCGGAGGCTGTCTAAAAATGATCCTTGCCGTTCATCAAAATACAAAACCGATGCAAAGAATTAAGTATGGTTTACTTGTGTGCCAAGTTATATTGAAATCGGACTAAAACTGTAGGAGGAGTAGCATTTTGAAAGCATTCCATAGAAATTTCTGTTTTTAGTAACCACGGCAACACCATTCATCGAAATCATAAACCGATGCACAGAATTATGTATCTTAGTGTAGTCTACTTGTGTGCCAAGTTATATTGAAATCGGACCAAAACTGTAGGAGGAGTAGCATTTTGAAAGAATTTCACAGATATTTCTATCTTTAGTAACCATGGCAACACTGTTCATCGAAATCAAAAACCGATGCACAGAATTGTGTATCTTAGTAAAGTCTACTTGAGTGCCAAGTTATATTGAAATCGGACTAAAACTATAGGAGGAGTAGCATTTTGAAAGTATTCCACAGAAATTTCTATTTTTAGTAACCACGGCAACACCGCGTTCATTGAAATCAAAAACCGATGCACAGAGTTATATATCTTAGTAAAGTCTACTTGTGTGCCAAGTTATATTGAAATCGGACTAAAACTGTAGGAGGAGTAGCATTTTGAACGCATTCCACAGAAATTTCTATTTTTAGTAACCACGGCAACACCGTTCATCGAAATCAAAAACCGATGCACAGAATTATGTATCTTAGTGTAGTCTACTTAAGTGCCAAGTAATTTTGAAATCGGACCAAAACTGTAGGAGGAGTAGCATTTTGAAAAATTGTTTACAGACAGACAGACAGACGGACGGACGACGGACGCATTACTATCGCATAAGCTCTTCTGGTCTCTGACCAGTAGAGCTAAAAACCAAATGACGCCACCAAGAGCTAGCTGTAAATGATATTTTAACTATTCTAAGGAATCCATTTCGGACATTTAAAACATATATTTCTAAATTTGATATAACGAATAATATTACGAATAAATGGCACCTGATCCCACCTCTAATGTTTCGGAGGTCCGTTTTTGCTCTGCTCATAATTTGTATTGTTTTACGGTCTTTCAGATTAAATACTGTTCCCTATCTCCATATCATTTTTTTTTGAATTCGTTATGATAATTTGAGCTGTTATATTTTTTTTTGTATACTATATATAGCTATGTCCTTATGAATGGAATTGATAATCGAAGTCAATTTCATAACAAAATTTAGAATTCATTGAAAAAAATAAAACATCAGTGAAATCAAGATTTTCAACTCCCTTATACTAATTAAATCAAGGATCACTTCATTATAAATAGGTATCTGACCTTTAGGACCGGGCTTGGTTTTTTTCTCTACAAAAAGCTTGTTGATTTCCGTTCCGATTAATGACATTAGGCTAAATACATATAATAATTTGTTTTTTCGTAAATTTTTATTTCAGTTAGTAGAGGTAGGAGGAACCCTTTCATTGATTTTCTGAGTTTTTTATCTCCATAACCTTTATGACCCATGAGAAGTAAAGACAAATATCAATATCTCCATATGTACTATGTACTTATTGATATTTGTCTTTACTTCTCGTGGTTCATAAAGGTAGTGTCTACTGTCTCTGAAACTCTTTTCTTTATATCTAGGCCATTTATCCGTGGATATAATACATGTCATTAAAATGATTAATGTGTGCAAATTATACAGGCCTAAATGAAATCCAAGGGGGTGCATTTTCTGAAATATGTAGCCAAAATCAATGTGATTAAATTATAAGGAATATATACAACTGAAATTCATCTCAGCTCAATGCTGCCAAGAATACCTGTATTGAGTAACACAGATTGAGTTATTCTTGTCCTCGGTGTGCTTATACTGAGGTTCGTTCCGCCTTACTGAGAACTGTACATTGGATTGTTACGTTTTGATATCTCTTTAGTGTTTCTTACATCAAGAATGGGCATGCATAAAGGATAGATAATTAAAGGAAAAATACACAAATCTGTATTTAAAAAAAAATTAAATTGTCTTTGAAAAGGCGAAATTTAAAAGTGTACCAGGTGGATTCGAACCCCCGACTTTAAAAAGAAAGTATCGAAGGTGTAAAAAAGTCAGCACTTATATCAACTGAGCTAGTTTGACTATAAAAATGAGAGGCATAAATTTAAAACAGGTGATGAAAATCATGTTTCCTTATTTTTTTGTATTTTTTTTGTGAATTTCGACCCCAGTGCAGGGGTGCACCTAAAAAAGTCTTATCTTAAATTATTCCTCACATCCTAACCTATCAAAATATCACAATTTTATTTAGGGGCAGGCCTGCCCTGAAGGACTTTAAGGCCAAAATTCATGCAAAAAGCAATGCTTTTACGGACAAAATGGTGTTTCGGTCAACTTTGGAGGTTTATTGTAAAGTAGCAAATAATAAATTTGAGGTATAAAACACAAATTTGAAAAATTTAGACATATATACGGTCGAAAACAACAAATAAAGATTGATTTTTAAATGTCGTTTTTTCCGGGAAATTGTTCTCTCCTATAGGTCAGTTCTTTTGTTAAAGCGAAAACATCCTTTAAATAAGTACTCTAACATATTTAATTTGTCATTACAAATTCGACAATTTATTATAGATAAAATTCGCTATAAAAAATTCAACAATTAAGAAAATTGTTCAGAAAAATTTCCTGAAAGGTTTTTAAGGAGATTCCGTAACAATCATTTCTTTTTCATCACTCAACAATTACAGTTTTAGTGAATCAAGAAAAACAACTGAAATACGATTGATATTCCAGCAAATTCTTCCCTAGTTATATAAATTTGGTTGTTTTGAATTTTTTTTTTCCGGGATGATGCCTACATGAGAAATATTCACTCACTATGTGCAAGAGAATATCTTTCTATTTCTGACTATATAGCTATTAAGCATAGTTTATGGATATCTAATTTAAAAAGGCTTGAAATCAGTGATCTCGACAGGAAGGGCAAAAAAAAAAAAAAAAAAAAAAAAAATTAAATTTTTTTTGTAATTCTTTTCTCACCTAAAATACACCTTTACAATGTGAATTAAGTATTTTTTTTTTAATTAAAAAAAAATTAATATGTCAATGGGGAGACTATTGATTTATAGATTCATAAAAGTGAGATATGTGATTGTGGTGATTTTATCAATAAATGAATTATATAATTTTTATAAAAAAAACGTTTTTGAAATCTTAAAGAAAAATACATTTTAAAAAATTTTTATTATGTATTTTAACTTGATTATACGGCATATTAAGTATTCCGGATATCTATGCAGCATGGTTTTTTTTTATTTAGTGTGTGGACTTTAAACTTTAATATCTTGTGCTGCAATGGCGTGTAGACGTGGCAATATTCTATTTGATAGGAAGTAATTGAAAGAGAATAAGGTAATAAATAACATTACCTTTTAACGTTGTATTTAGGTGTCATGTACTAGATAAAAGGATATATAATTTTAAAAAGGGAAATTCTTTGTTTTAATGAATCTAAAAAGAGTTATATGAAATAAGTGCAGGGTATGGATGTATTTAGATATTGAAGATATATTTTTAGAAATAGTGTATCTACATGTATAACGGTGACAAATGAACATTGCATTGTAAGTAACTCTCTTTCCCTCTTCGATTTAAATATTTTCTCTTTTTTTTCCTTTTGAGAAGTTAATATGCGTGTGCCCTTGACACAAAAGGTAGATCTTTAAATCCCCTATTGATAACATAACTCAGTATCTACCGTATGGATATTGATTGATCATAGTGACAATAAGTGCAGTGCATGCTTTATAAATATTTTTTTTTTCAATTTTTATAAAAAAATCTAGAAGCATAATGGATAAGAAAAGCTACAGATTTTCTAAAGAAGAAAGAAATTTTTGGATTCTGGATGTATTGATCAAACACGTTGCCCCGGCAGCAGTCAGGAAACGTTTTGATGTTATTATTCCTCGAGATGACCTTGATAAAATTCTCAACAGTAATGTCAGTGTCATTCAAAATCTTATTAGTAAAAAGGTCATCAATGTACATCAGCAAGGAATTCTACAAGGTGTTCCAGGTTTCAGTATACCAGCAGCAATAACAGTACCGACTTCGAAGAAGACAGGTTTGAGATTACAATAATTTTCTTTTTATCCCAGATTAAGACATTGTAAAAAAAAAAAAAAAAAAAAAAAGTCACCTGTGTGTTGCAGTGGTAAGCACATCTGCTCTTATGTCTCAGAGTAAAGAGCTAATTCATCTTCGCGAGTTCGAGCCCCAATTTGATACAAATAGATTGTTCATTCGAATGAGACAGCATAAACCGAGGTCAGCTGTAGGTGTTGGCACAAAAAAATTATCTAATTGCTCAACGTCCGTTAATGCAAAGTCCACGGGCCAATGGTGGCGGCTCTTTATGAGTAAAAATTCTCGAGAGGGGCCGGGCGTCAAGGAAACATTGTCAAACAAAATAAAGACAAGATTGTTTTTTATATCATAAGTATACATTATTGTTAGTTGAACTCAGGAAATTAAATATCATGTGATTGGTCATTTAAATATGGAATTGTAAACTACCTTTATGATAACTACTCTCTTGCAACATATGGGCAGCCTCGCGTAAATTTTAAAATATGTGCATCCATGCATATGGTCTATATTTTAATAATCATGATTTTCGATATTAAATCGTATTTTAGATGGTTGTAAGTCGATTGATTTTGTTCTCTTTGATTATTATGACAACAATTTACATGTGCTCCGTTTTCCATATCAATACCTCATACAGGGTTTGACCGATCGACTGGATCGAGATGCATACTCCTCCTTCTCGTAGATACCTGGCCCCGTGATCATGAAACATTTTAAGCTTAAGTCAAAATCTCTATTTGATAATAAAAATGTTGTAGAAGTAAAGCGGACCAAATTAAAATATGTTTCAATCTTGCTTCTCAAAAGTGTTGTTATCTGCAAATTTCAAAATAAATTCTATCATTCATAAATATTTTATAGACGATTGAAAATTCGACTTAAGTCTAAGTTTGTTTCATGATCCTGGGACGTGGACTGTTGGTGATTTCCTTGAATTTTAAGCTTATCTGAGCCGATCAAATTTTTCCGGTGTCTGTCGGCGTGTAGTTGTTGATTTGTCGTAAGCTTGTGAAATTTTCCAGTAACTTCTTCCCAAAATCACTTGGCCCATTTTTTTTAATATAAAAAAAAACTTTATTACCCCTCTAACTGAAAAGTTTAAGGTACCTAACGATGTGTTTCGGATGCTTTTCAGCAACTTCTTCCAGTGATTTTGATACTACCTTGATGATATGCCTTCTACGAAACCTAAAACTTGTAAAGGAACCTTCTACCGGATGGGATAGACTTCCACCTGACAGCGACAATTCTCTTGGAGCGAATTTGACCAGAATCAAAGTGTATAGGAACAAGTTATCTCATCCATCAAAAAGTCGAATTAATGATAATTCTTACCACAAGATATGGTCTTCCTTGAAAAAGGTATTGTATTTTTTCTCAAGATATATGTATTTCAAATCTTGTAAACATTTAATGGAGCAACGTGGAATTTCTCCATATTTAAATTATTTTTAGGTGAAATTGATTGAAAATTATAAATGAGAATATAGTCACTTGTTGAATATTTAAAAATAAAAAAACACATTTTAAATAGAAATGATAGTAACTCTATGGCAGTTGCCATAGAAACAGTTGTTTGGAAATGCGGGGGAGATATTAAAGCATTTATTATCATTTTAATTCTTAATGCGTGAAATGAGAATAAAACCGCCCTATGCGGTATATAAAAAGAAATTATGTCATTATTACGATTGCTTGATTTTTTAAATATATATTTTTTGTGATGGTTTTACTGATTTTACTGGATATTCAGTTCATTAGTAGATAATTTATTGTTCATCTTTAAGTTCTTATAGACAACGTCAAATTTCGGTCAAGTTATAAGTTTTGTGAAAATTCCGGTATCACCCTATCTTAAACGCATACATTTATATTAATGGCATGGGCTTGGGAAAATGCATTCAGTTACAAGTTTTCCAGTGGAATAAGAAATTTAAGAAAAAATAGAACTTCCAATGATGTTGATTAAGGGGTGGTCGCGTTTGGAGGCTCTGTTTTAATTGTTTCTCCCCGGCACTTGACAAATAAAAAGCGTTAATGGATGTTGTCGGCTGATGTACTGTTCTTGACATTGCTACTGAAATTGGAACATGATATGGAAAGATTGGAAGCATTTTGAATTATGTGTGAAATATAAAGATATATTGGTGCGAGAGGATACCCAAAAATTTTTTGAGAAAAAAGGGCAGCATTTTGTTAAATTAAGTATTCAAATAGGACATAAGGGTGAGATGGTTCTATAACTTGACGTTACATATCTAAATTGACGTCACGTCGAGGTCTCTCCCGAGTTTCACAACTACCCATTTTCAAAAAGCTCCTGTGACCTTATTGGTAACTACCCTATTGGTAACTGGAAAGTGTTGATATTTTCCAATATTGTTGCATTATAAATCTATATTATAAATATGCCTGTTGTTTGCTTTCATCAAATCACGCTAAAATTTTAGAAAGAAATTCCACAAACTTTTGGATCAACCCTTGTATAGAACAACCTCGAAAGATAGCAATTTTCACTTTTGTTGAGTATTAGTTCACACTAACTGATCATATTATGTGAATTTGTCCTATTTCTGTTTTGTAATCATTAGAATTTGTATCTGAGAACAGCAGGGCCAAAATGATCTATGAACCTGTTGCGAGTTCACAGTATTATAAAGATGTTATTGATAATTCTTTAAATATTTCTTTAGGTTGACGTATTAGGCCTAATTTTTTTTATTCTTTCATATGCCTTGACGTTTATTCCACTGTAGGCTTTGAGTGAAATAAGTGATGGAGAAACTGATGACATTGTTCGAGAAATAGAAACATTTGATTTGGGGGTATCAAATAAGGAGGAGCTATTATGCAGGATTCAACAGGAAGTTCGTGAATTGAAAAACGAGTTACAATTTCATCGTAACTTAAAAGGTAAATTTAAGCTATCAGAATTTAAAAATAAAAATTTCTCATTAAAAAGATTAATTCGTCTGCTCTATTAGTTGTAAGAGAGTCTGCTCTAAAGCCGCGTGTAAAGAAGTTGATTCTTACATCGCGGATACGGATCCCTTGTTTGACGTTGAGACCTTTACTGCGGATGAGACTGAAAATTTGAATTATAATCACCAGAAAAATTGGATAAAAAATGCATTCTTACTTTACAAAAAGACGTATAAATTGGAAAATTGTTATTTACTTTTCAATGTAGGAAAACCGTTCACGGTAGCTCAGTCGGTAGAGCGCTCGCTCCGTGATCGGGAGGTCGTGAGTTTGTATTTCGGCCGCGACAGACCTAAATCAATTCTCCATGCGCTCGGCACTTTGAAGTGAACGTACGTTGTGGGTCCTCCAGATGAGACCTTAAAAACCGAGGCCCCGTGTCATTGGCAGACGTTGGCACGATAAAGATCCATCACTGCTCAATGGCCCTGAGTGCCGAGTAAAGGTCAAAATTTGAAGCCCTTCACCGGCATATGGTGACGTCTCCATATGCCTGAAAAATTCTCGAGAGGGACTTTAAACAGTATACAATCAATTAATCAATCAATCAATCAAGGAAAACAATATTTAAATTAGTATTAAAGTTTTATGAGGCTACGCCCTATTTTATTCATCGTTCAATTTGTTAGGTCAATACAATAATAGTACTAGTGACTTCTGGCTTGACAGCCCTTGTGAAAGACGAAGCAAGGGTATTTGTCCATTTTGGATAGTTCATTCCAAAAACAGCCCAAATCAGGGGCCAAAATTGTCTTAACCTATATTTTTCTTTAAACTTCTTAGCTCACCTGAGCTGAAAGCTCAAGTGAGCTTTTCTGATCACATTTTGTCCGGCGTCCGTCTGTCTGTCTAATGTCTGTCTGTCTGTGAACTTTTCAATTTTTTAACTTCTTCTCCAGAATCACTTGGCCAATTTCAACCAAACTTGCCACAAAGTATTCTTGTGTGAAAGGAATTCAAAGGACCACGTTCTTACTCAAGGGGAGGTAATTCAGAGATAGTTCTAATTTGGTGGCATTTTTCTCCTCAAGAATAACTGTGCCGGCAAAGCTGAAACTTATATTGAAACATTCTCAGGTTGTGTAGGTTCAATTTGTCCATATCATGACCCCTTGGAATAGGCCGATAAAAGTTTAAAAAAAGAAGTATCTAGGAAAGTTCTCCAAAAATCTTCTCAAGAAAAGTAAAGCGATGATGAGTGATATTTAGGAGGGGTTATCAAGAAGTTCGTGGACTAGCGCCATAAAATTATAACCGCTTAAGGCACATCAATGAATTAAAAAAAAATTAGTTAGCATAATCTTTCCTATCTTAAGAATAAACCACAAATCATAAATTTTATTATTTAATAAATAAGTTATGTTTTGTAAGCAATGGCAAGTCCAGGCAGCGCGACCTCGAACACGACGTTTTTGCGACCTATGTGTAACTGAGAAAAAACTCTTGATATGAACATTTGACATCCGAAAATTTCGTTAATTTAAGTTTGTGTCGGGACACAATTGTTCCATAAAATATGAAATTTTCACTTCATTCTGGAAGTTCTATGAAATTTTATTGTAAATTTTACATGGAATGTCCAAATAAACGAGGCCTTGAAAATGACGTCAAAAAAGGGGGGGGGGGGTTCCCCAACATTCTATCAAGTTTTGCTCCTGAAAAAACTGGTAAGATCTAAGAAATGTTTAAACTGGCTACAGAGAAATAATATGCATCCAGAATACTTGTCTTTTGATGTCAAAATAGATTCAGAGAGAAAAAGGATACATAATTAATGTCGATTTGTAGTCAATGTGTGAAAAATCAACCGAGTCAAAAAATGACGTTGATCATGTGTTGTAGATATTGAACTCCCAAATGCAAACTATACTTGTACAATCAGGCAATGATCTTTCCCAATGCATAAATCCATTTGGAATATTATATTCATTGAAAGCCACTGTTCATGAAATTGTAGTCATATAAACAAGGCGGGTTTAAGTCCTTACTCAGTTCCAGGGAATCTCATCCAAAAAAGTGCATGAAGTAGAAGAAGAGGACATTGAAAAACAATAACGTTGTCGGACGTCATGAAAATAAACGACGACAGAGCCAGGTTGTCATATAATGTCGTTTTTATTTTATAATAATTTGGCAAATAATAAACGTTTCAAACTAAAATTTTCAACAATTCTTTATTTTGTGTTGTTTTATGTTACATTTAAATTTTGAGAGCACAGACTACATAGTACTTATTTTATAGCCTCAATCCACGAACTTTTTGATAAGCCCTCGTACATGTATAAGAAAGCATCCATAGGTGGTGTAGATTCACGTTTTTTCAAATTATGATCCCCGGGTATAGGGCGTGACCACAATGACCGATCAAAGTTTTACATAGAAATATATTTTAAAAAATATTTTAAAATCTTCTCTCTCAAAAAAAAAAAAAAAAACAAAAAAAAAAAAAAAACAAAGCCATTAGTCAAATTTATATTGAAGCATCCTCAGGTAGAGTAGATTCAGGTTCAGATTCCGCGGTAAGAAATCCATGACTAGTCATAATTGTATTTATAAGGAAGCATTCTCAGGAAGTGTAGATTCAAGTTTGTTCAAATCATAACCTTTGGTGTAGGGTGGGACACAATGTAAGTTGAAGTGTCCGTGGCAATTAAAAGCCACAGGTAGTAAAAAAATTAATCAAGCATCCTAAGTTGGTTCGTTCAAATCATACCCTCTCTCTTTTAAGGAATGGTCGGGACCACTTTTGGGTTTAAACTTTTCAATAATAAACTGATTTCTGCTTTTTGTCCTAGCCACAGTGATCAGGTGAGCGATGTGGCCCACGAGCCTTTTGTTCTTAAGAACATGTATCTCTCTTGGGAAAAGGGGTGTATCTCTTCATTTGAAGAAATTTTAACGAACGTCTTTTACCAAAGGATACTCCTTTTTTGTTCATCATGAATATCATCATTTTGTTACGGGTTTCTTTTGATTTCTTACATGTACTTTTTTTTTTAGAAAAATAAGATGTTGTTTTTATATAATTTATTGGAAGTCTATCATTCATCAAACATACAGCGTCAGCAAGGCACATCATTAATTAATTTGCCTCCTTATTTAGGATGAAAACTGTAATTCAGGAATGTATTTGCCTTATTCAAGACTTTCATTTGGCATCTGTTTCCTTATTCAGGTTCTATGGTTCTTATTCAGAACCACGCGCGAGGCAACAGACAGACAAATAAATAGACCTCATGGTTTATATACAAGTTATAATGATCACGTGATTAAATTAAAGCGACATCTATACATTACAACAAAGAACGGTAATCATGACATAAAATAAACATTGTTATTAAACATAACAATATTTTTTATTAATTAATAAAGTCACCAAAAAGCATTTTTTTTTTATAAAAATCTGTATTAATAAAGTGCATAACAATATATTTTAAATGAACTCTCTTTCTTTTTCTCTCACTGTAGGTGTGTGTGTATAAATAAAATGAATTATTTTGTTTCCTTAGAAAATACGATGAACTTAGTAGAAGAATGGAAGACCGAGACAGACGTGTTCTATAAAACCAGGGGTACGGAGGAAGTATTAGAGAAAATTAAAACTAACAACAGTGTTATGATTGTAGGAAATTCTGGTACAGGAAAAACAGCGACAATGAAATATGTATCTCTCCTGCTCGAGGAAGAAGGTTATGAAATTATTCCTGTTAGCTCTGCTAACGAAATTCCCTGTCAAAGATTTAGTAGTCGAAAGCAACTTTTTATTATTGATGATATCATTGGTAAATACAAAGTAAATGATGTCGCTCTGGAATTATGGGAGAAAGTTAATAATCGGCTTGATATAATATTTAAGTGTAAAAATGCCAAACTATTATGTACCTTGCGGAGAAGTTTACAGAAGGAAATTGGTGAACTCTCTATTTCAACGGTTTTTAATTCAACAATTGTTGACCTGGATTCTACTGATTTAGCGCTTTCTTTCAAAGAAAGAAAAGGAATGTTTAGAAAATATATGCTAAAACGAAACAAACAGAATGAAATTGGTACAGAAGAAATTGAGATAATCTGTGGTTGTAGTTATGGATTTCCTCTGTTATGTGAACTGTTCTTTTCGAATTCTGAATTTTTCAAGAGGAAGGCCAATTTTTTTTGCAATCCTTCAACTGTTTCCAACAAAAAATGTCACTCTAAATAAAAATTAACAAGACAAAAAAATCTACATAGGTTGATAGCATCAAAAATGAGTAGATATCTTTTTTTTCTAAATATTACTAAAAGCAAGCGCAAAGTTTTTATTTAGATGTCATAACCACCTTTAACCAAGTTAATTTTTTTCTGGTGACTTTTTATAGCTTTAAAAAGTTTATATTCAAATTTTGGTGTTGGTTAAAGGTGGTTATGACATGTGTAGAAGTTGTCAAACACACCAACCCTCTTATGTTTTCCCATTGCGCTAATGTTAATACGGAGCGATGGTACATCACTTTGAGAACCCATATCATAAAAAATACTACAGGGTCAGTGACCAAACAAGTTTTGGCATTAAATTTAATCTTTTATTCGATGATTCATACAGTTTTTAAAGGAAAAAATATATTTTGAAATTTTGGAGTCATTGTAGGCTGAAAAACGGCCTTATAGAGAATGAACCTTTATTGTAAATTTTACATGGAATGTCCAAATAAACGAGTCCTTGAAAATGACGTCAAAAAAGGGGGTGTTCCCCAACATTCTATCGAGTTTTGCTCCTGAAAAAACTGGTAAGACCTAAGAAATGTTTAAACTGGCTACAGAAAAATAATATGCATCCAGAATACTTGTCTTTTGATGTCAAAATAGATTCAGAGAGAAAAAGGATACACAATTAATGTCGATTTATAGTCAATGTGTGAAAAATCAACCGAGTCAAAAAATGACGTTGATCATGTGTTGTAGATATTGAACTCCCAAATGCAAACTATACTTGTACAATTAGGCAAGGATCTTTCCCAATGCATAAATCCAATTGGAATATTATATTCATTGAACGCCACTGTTCATAAAATTGTAGTCATATAAACAAGGCGGGTTTAAGTCCTTACTCAGCTCCGGGGAATCTCATCCAAAAAAGTGCATGAAGTAGAAGAAGAGGACATTTAAAAAAAATACCGTTGTCGGACGTAATTAAAATAAACGACGACAGAGCCAGGTTGTCATATAATGTCGTTTTTATTTTATAATAATTTGGCAAATTATAAACGTTTCAAACTAAAATTTTCAACAATTCTTTATTTTGTGTTGTTTTATGTTACATATAAATTTTGAGAGCACAGACTACATAGTACTTATTTTATAGCCTCAGTCCACGAACTTTTTGATAAACCCTCGTACATGTATAAGAAAGCATCCATAGGTGGTGTAGATTCACGTTTTTTCAAATTATGATCCCCGGGTATAGGGCGTGACCACAATGACCAATCAAAGTTTTACATAGAAATATATTTTAAAAAATATTTTAAAATCTTCTCTCAAAAAAAAAAAAAACAAAACAAAACAAAACAAAACAAAAAAACAAAGCCATTAGTCAAATTTATATTGAAGCATCCTCAGGTAGTGTAGATTCAGATTCAGATTCCGCGGTAAGAAATCCATGACTAGTCATAATTGTATTTATAAGGAAGCATTCTCAGGAAGTGTAGATTCAAGTTTGTTCAAATCATAACCTCTGGTGTAGGGTGGGACACAATGTAAGGTGAAGTGTCCGTGGCAATTAAAAGCCACAGGTAGTAAAAAAATTAATCAAGCATCCTAAGTTGGTTCGTGCAAATCATACCCTCTCTCTTTTAAGGAATGGTCGGGACCACTTTTGGGTTTAAACTTTTCAATAATAAACTGATTTCTGCTTTTTGTCCTAGCCACAGTGATCAGGTGAGCGATGTGGCCCACGAGCCTTTTGTTCTTAAGAACATGTATCTCTCTTGGGAAAAGGCGTGTATCTCTTCATTTGAAGAAATTTTAACGAACGTCTTTTACCAAAGGATACTCCTTCTTTGTTCATCATGAATATCACCATTTTGTTGCGGGTTTCTTTTGATTTCTTACATGTACTTTTTTTTTTAGAAAAATAAGATGTTGTTTTTATATAATTTATTGGAAGTCTATCATTCATCAAACATACAGCGTCAGCAAGGCACATCATTAATTAATTTGCCTCCTTATTTAGGATGAAAACTGTAATTCAGGAATGTATTTGCCTTATTCAAGACTTTCATTTGGCATCTGTTTCCTTATTCAGGTTCTATGGTTCTTATTCAGTCACCAAAAAGCTTTTTTTATAAAAAAAATCTGTATTAATAAAGTGCATAACAATATATTTTAAATGAACTCTCTTTCTTTTTCTCTCACTGTAGGTGTGTGTGTATAAATAAAATGAATTATTTTGTTTCCTTAGAAAATACGATGAACTTAGTAGAAGAATGGAAGACCGAGACAGACGTGTTCTATAAAACCAGGGGTACGGAGGAAGTATTAGAGAAAATTAAAACTAACAACAGTGTTATGATTGTAGGAAATTCTGGTACAGGAAAAACAGCGACAATGAAATATGTATCTCTCCTGCTCGAGGAAGAAGGTTATGAAATTATTCCTGTTAGCTCTGCTAACGAAATTCCCTGTCAAAGATTTAGTAGCCGAAAGCAACTTTTTATTATTGATGATATCATTGGTAAATACAAAGTAAATGATGTCGCTCTGGAATTATGGGAGAAAGTTAATAATCGGCTTGATATAATATTTAAGTGTAAAAATGCCAAACTATTATGTACCTTGCGGAGAAGTTTACAGAAGGAAATTGGTGAACTCTCTATTTCAACGGTTTTTAATTCAACAATTGTTGACCTGGATTCTACTGATTTAGCGCTTTCTTTCAAAGAAAGAAAAGGAATGTTTAGAAAATATATGCTAAAACGAAACAAACAGAATGAAATTGGTACAGAAGAAATTGAGATAATCTGTGGTTGTAGTTATGGATTTCCTCTGTTATGTGAACTGTTCTTTTCGAATTCTGAATTTTTCAAGAGGAAGGCCAATTTTTTTTGCAATCCTTCAACTGTTTTCAGAGAAGAATTGGACCGTTTAAAAAGGAAAAATAAAGAGGTATACTGTGCCCTTGTCTTAAACATTATTTTTGAAACAGATGATCTGCAAAATATTTTTGATATCTCATGTAGCGTGCAACGAAAAGATGACTTCCTCCGAGTTCTAAGAGCATGCGAAGTTTCAGAATCAATTCCAAGAAAAAGCCTCTTTAAGCATTTGGTTTCTGTATCTGGTAGTTTTGTTCGACCAGAAAATCCATTTACATTCATTCATGATAGGTTAGAAGAAACAATAGCTTGTCATTTTGGTTCATGCTTTCCGGAGATAATGTTTCAATGTTGTAAGCGTGAATTTATAAGAGACAGAGTTCGAATCCATGGACATCATGAAGATGATGAAAACATTTTAGTACTGACCCGTTCATCTTATGACGCGTTTTCGAAAAGGGTTCTTGCAGAGATATTGAACGGAAAATTTCGTGATGTTTTACTCAGCGAACCACTTCAAAACAAAGATTTTGCGAATTATTTCTTGCATTTTCTAGAAAAAAACAAACGTTCTCTTGATGATTTGGAACATTTGCTATGCAAAGACTCTCTGAGGCCATCATCTTACCAAGTAGATAGAAAATGCAGGAATATAACAAATACAAACAGACTTGCCATGTTAGAAGTCTTACATGAAGAAAACAAAAGTTTCATTCATTGGTTAGTTGCAACAGGCTGCTATTTTCTATTTTATCCCATTTACCAAAGACCAAAGAGTACATTTATACAGTTATATGAAAAGCGTACCTCTGTGCAGGTAAATGATCTCTTACATTTAGCAGTTTTAGGTGAAAATATTGATACCATTAAATTATTGATTTCAAAAGGTGGCAATGTTAAATCTTGTGACACATATGGCATTCCTTTGTTATGTAAAATCGCAAAAACGAACAATTGTGCAATTGCAAATGTGGTAATAAAAGCTGGAGCTGATGTAGATCAGGGAGACGAGGTTCTTGGGTGGACTGCATGCTTTGTGGCTTCCTGGTTCAATAAAATTGAAATGTTGATCTTGCTTTTGAGCAGAGGAAGTGAAGCTAATTATTTGGATTTTCAGTTCAGAACACCGTTAGCGATTGCGGTGTTGAGGAATAATGTACAAGCAGTATCTGTGTTGTTGCGCTATGGTGCTACCGTTTTTGATGAATATTTGCATATTGATTTTCCTTTCAGCTCAACGGCAATTTTGCAAGAGGCTTTGCTGAACAAAAATTCCAAAATTGTACAACTGCTTTTAGTCTCTGGGAGAGCAAAGAATGAGTTCAGTGTAAGATTTCCTTCCTGTGCGTTTTCAAAAAATCAACGTCTATCAAATGACCTATTAGAATTGTTTTTGAATGATCTGAAAACAGTTTCTTCGGGGAGTTCTTTGTGGAGGGACTTCGTTAAAATCTGTAATGCAATCTACAAAAATGACACACAAGTGATGCATGAAGTGTTTAAGGAAAAGGGACATAGCCGACCTAGCTTCCGATATCAAGTAAAATACAAAACAACATCAAGAGCCCGCCTCTTGGCTACTTTTAATGAAAATTACCTGCGTTTTACCTTGCTTCATATAGCCGCTGCATGTGACGACGTAAACGCTGCACGAATGTTGATGTTATTAGGCGCTAATCCATTTCAAAGAGATATTAAAGAGAGAACAGCACTTCATTTAGCGAATAGTAGCAACATGATTGAAACTCTTCTAAATACTAACTTAGATGAGCACTATGATGATAAAAAAGCATGCAAGCATTCGCCGACCTTTGGGAAAACGTTACTTTTTCTCCTGTCTTTCAATTTCATCAGCCAGGCAAGTAGAATGTTAGTAAGCAGAAGAATTGGTGTCAATACTACTGATAGTTATGGAAATACTCCATTGCATGCCTTAATAATTAGAACGACAGATGTGACCAAGTGCCTTGATGCATTGGAATCACTGATAAAGCATGGTGCAGATCCTCGCATACGATGCAACAATGGATTTCTACCATTAGACCATTTTAGAACTTTTACTCTCTCAAGAAATGAATACGAGAATGAGAGAGGAGAGAGCTTATTAGGATGTCAAAAAACAAGAAGTTTT